TCGACGAGAAGCCCGGTGCGGAGGGCCCGCCGCTGCCTCCCCCTCCCCCTCCCGTCACACGGGAGAGAGGCGGAGAGGCGTCCCTCACTCCGCCCCCGGGCAGAACGCACCCGGGGCAGACGCCTCTCGGGCAGACGCCTCTCACCGCACCCGGGACGGCCTCTCGCCAGGCGTGCGCGTGCCGCTCTTCAAGGAGGCGCTCGGCGCCGACGAGGTGGCAGAGGCGAAGCCTTCGGGCGTGGGCTTGCTCGAGATTTGCTCGAGGATTGAGGCGGTGCCCGAGGCGTCGGTCTATGTTGGCGACGCGCCGACGGACGGCAAGGCGGCGCGCGCCGCAGGCATGCGGTCGGTCGGCGTCGCTTGGGGCGCGAATCCGGCAGCAGCGCTCGAGGCCGACTTCGACGTGGTTGTGAGTGACGTGCCCGCCCTAATCGTGGCGTTGCGCACGTTGCTTGGAGACGATGAGAAATCGTAGTGACATAGAAGATAGCGGCCACGGGGTGGAGACAGACACTTCATCTCGCCACAGTTGGACCGTTTTCGTTTTATTGCGTCTCGATGACATGCGGCGTGCACACACACCGCTGGCACACTCGGGAGTCTGCCCGGGCGCCGCGGGGTCGTCTTTTCGCTACACATGTATCTCTGGTCTCTCTCGTCCTGCGTGTGAGAAAAATCTGGTTCGGGCTCGGCGGTCTTTAAGTCGGTCTTTAAAGCCGTACCTGGTACATATTTTGCCGTGTACAAGCTCCGCGGGACCTTCACCCGCACGTGACCCACCGTAGCGGCGTCACAGCAGCGCCCTCGGCCTCCGGTACGTAAGTTGCCCATGTTACGGGGCAGACTGCGCGTCCAGCCTCGCGGAGTCCGAGCTGGCGCGCATCCTGCCGCACCCCAAACATGCGCAGGCCGAGGTGCTGCAAGAAGATGTCGCTCCTCTTGAACAACTCGGGCGTGTACAGCGCGTCTTGAGAGCCCACCGCCCACTCAGCTGTCTTCCGAAAGCCCAGCCCTGCCTCGAAAAGGCCGACCACGGTGATGGGATCGCCCTCGGCAAAGACCCAGCTGCGGTCACATGTGAGCGGGGTCGCACGGTCGAGCAATCTGCGGTGCGTGTGCTTGTCCGCCTGCAGGTTTGCTCCGCTGCGAGGGTCGGCCGAGAAGCGTACGCTATTTCTATCGATGCGGCAGACAAGCCGCGCATCCCTCGCGGCCTCCAGCACCTGCTCGAGCTCGCGCCGGCTCTGCAGCTTGAGCAGCGGCGCACCAGAGTAGCCGCGTTGCATCATCCCTCCGCGGTCGAGGTTTAGGTCCCTCGCGTCCGCTGCGTAGACCCACACGTCAGAGAAGATGCGCGTGTGGGTGTGGATGAAGGCGTGCGCCAGCCAGCCGGTGTACGGGGCTTGGGCGGTGAACCACTGTGCATGCAGCCCCTCCTTGGGAAGCGCGAAGGTGGCGAAGGGCATGACAACCCCCTTGTTTGCAAAGTTGAGCAGCGAGAGCGGAACCACCGGCGCGGAGCTGAGAGGCTCGCTCGTGCGGAAGGCCACCATGGGCACCATTGGCGTCGCGAGGTCCCGCCGTGCGACAAAGGCGCCGTCGGAGCGGTAGAGCGGCCGCGTTACAAAGGCGAACGAGGCAGCCTCTGTGCCTGGACGGGAGGAAACGAGGCAGGGGGGTGAGCGGTAAGCGGAGCGGAATAAACCTTCGGGGTGGACGGGACAAGGGCTCGCGCACTTGGTAGGTCAAAGAGAAGGCACGCCTCACCTCCCAGCTCAGGCAGGCACACGCTGTCGCCATGCACCTGGAAGTCGAGCCCGGGCGACGGCCGGCTGCGGTCGTCGTCATTCACGTGGATGTGGTGCATGTAAACCTAGGTCAGGGTTGGAGTCAGGATGAGAGTCAGCTTTGAGGCTAACTCTATGTGACTCGAAGCGCGTGCACCTGGCTGCCATCGTGCGCAGTCGTGCCGACAAAGTATGCCGTCGTCAGTGTGTGGCCAGCGGGCTGTGACAAGTGCCAGCCACCCCATCGAATCATCGAGCCCGCTGGTAGAGAGCGCGGAAAGCCCTGCAAGGTGTGGATGACCCACGTGTGGGAGCCGTCCGCGTCGCTCCACGCATGTGTGCATCGCCGCTGCTGCACCATCACTTGCTGCGAGTCGTTGCCTGCGCCGTAGTGCAGCGGAAGATGGAACTCTGCGACCAGTGGGCTCTCCTCGCAGCGCTCACGTGCTGCCCTCGACGTGGCGTCTAGGAATGCGCTATGGCTCCGACGGCGGCGCCCGACGTCGGAGATGTGGCGCTGGAAGGTCGAGGCGTGTATGGCCGCTGTCCGCGATGCACTCGCGCGTGCCAGCTCCGCGCTCTCCATCTCGCCGTGCCTGCTGCTGAAGCAGCGCGTGCATGCCTCGGGCGGCGAAATGGATGGAGGGGCGCTCGTCTGGGGCGTGGCGGCGGAGCACGTGCTGCAGCGAAACCACTGCCGACCGGCACAGCCGAGGAGCGGATCGCAGGCGGGCTCGAGTGGCGTGGCAGCGCAGTCAGTCCCGTGAGTCCCAACTGATTCTCCATCGCCGCAGCTGCCACAGCGCCAATGGCCAATCTGATCGCACACCTGTGGAGCGCTCCCGCCGTCGCCACCGCTGCCGCCGCCGCCGCCACCGCTGCCGCCGCCGCCGCCACCGCTGCCGCCGCTGCCGCTGCCGCTCGCCGCTGTTGCCAGGCCGAGTTGGCGTCTCATTGCGCGGTACACAGGCGGAGACGGTGCGACGCGACTGCTCCCGAGCACGTTGTTTCCCCACTCCCAGCTATCGCCGCCGTGACTGGAAAAGACGCCCTCACACCAGCCGCGGCCATTCCTCTGTGAGGGCGGGAAGCAGCTCCGCTGCCGGACCAAGCCAGTCACGGTCGCTGTCGTCCACGCTAGCGTGGTGTCGGGGCAGCACGCGCGTTCGCCATTCGCGAGGAGTGGCTGCCCAACTTCGTTGGACTGATTGCTGACGTCGAGAAAGCCTACCTCGTCCATGAGCACAAGCGCTCCGGGGCTGGCCATCGCGCGCAGGTTTCGGAGGTCGAGCAGCGGCACATACCCAAAATGCCCCCCGTCCACGCTGACGATATCGCATTGCGCCTGTGGGTTGTTGCGGCTGAACACCGGGACAGTTTCGATGGTAGAGCCCTGGACGAGAGTGACGCGGCCGGGGAAGTAGTGATGTAGCACAGCCGAGACATTCGGGTCGACGACGAGGTCAAAGGCAATGAGGCGAGCGTGCGGGCTGCTACATAGCCACACCGTGGCTGAGCCGCCGCGAAAGAGTCCCGTCTCACACACCACTGGTCCGGATGTCGACCCGGTCCTGGCTGCCAAATTTGAGGCGTGTGCTGTGTAGGCGTCGACCTGCTGTCTCTTGCCTGTGATGGTTCCGCACTGGAAGCCAGCAGTATGGCAGCCCGCCCAGGTGCTCACTCCACGCAGGGCTGCCAGCACCTCCTTTTGGCACGCAGCGGCGGGGCTCATGCCCTCCACAGGAGTAGGCGCGGTCCACGTAGGAAAGTGCGCTTTCAGAAGCGCGCTCAATGTCATGTGCTGCTGGACTTCCGGACGTGTGAGCGCGCGCGTAGGTGGGGTGGCATTCCAAAGGCGCGACGTTCGTAAAATTGGACGAAAATCGACGCCGAAAAAGCCAAACCCGGTGAAAATGATTTTGGTTTGGAGATTGGGGTGTTCATGGGAGTTTCTTTAGCTGAAGAGAAATGGGAGTGAAATGTCGGGAGAGGAAGGGAGCGGGAGATCGATCGGCTATCTTGTATCTATCGCTCGGCGTCGCGGCCGCTCGAGGGCGCCGGGGCCGCGGCCGGTGGAGACCGATGTCGCCCGCGGGCGCCGAGCGTTTTTGATCTCTCGGTCTGTGGGCGCCCGCCCGCCGCCGGCCGGCTGCGGCTGAGGGTCGGGCCCCCTAGACTTAAAACAAAAACAAAATGGAGAGACAGTCAAAAACAGCCTGCCTCGTGCGAGTGTGAGTGACCCCAACAAGCCAAACGGCATCCGCCGAATAACATGTAATTAGGGCGACCAAAAGGGGCGATGGGCACGCACCCGCGCAGCGCCGGCTTTGAGCCACGCGCCTCGATACTTGCCTCGATCTTCAGAGGCGCGTGCCCCTTCCGCGGCAAGGACGACGACATCGAGGATGTCATGTTGCGCGATGGCGTCATCCATTCGTCAAGCCACCTTCATCGTGACCGTCGCCACCCTCGCCGCCGTCTCGCCTAAGTCGTCGCCTGCCGCCCTCGCCATCGTGGGCCTCGCTGCCGAGACGGTGCTTTTGCACCCTGGCTTAACTCTCCCACCCCCCTCCTATGCCGACGTGTGTCCCGTGCTCCCCCGTCCGCCGATGTTTTTGCTGCCGCCCGGGGGAGCTTTGCAGCGGTGCAGCGGGCCCTTTCCAACCTGCCGTGTGGGGAGGTCGCCCCCTGGTCCCCCCCCCCCCCCCCGGCCTCTCCGCTGAAATCTGCTGAAGTGTGCATGTGCTGACTGTTCTCGCCATTGTCCCACGCAGGAGCCAGCGCAGGTGCGTGTCTCGGTCTAATCGTAGTGGGGGCCCTGGCCCCCCTCTGCTTTCTGTTTTCTGTTTTTCAAAACGCCCGCCCGCCCGCCACCCCGAGGCGGCTCGGCCCCCCACGGCACAGGCCACAGCGCCGCACAGCAGCGCAGGCACACGAGCCGACGCCGAGAGATATCAAAAATTATTACCAAAAATAAAGCAAAACCAACGCTCGGGGCCCCCCGGGCGGGCCCTCGTCGTCCCGCATCTTTGTGTTTAGTACAAATACAGATGCATGACGCGCTCTCGAACGGGCCCGAAGCTCCGCTGCAAGAGCGTGCTGCCACTAATCCGACACCAACACACGTATAATTCACCTACTCACAAACGAACAGGATTTAGCCACATGGCATCCAATGTGATTGTGAAAGCGGTCAGCGCGGCACATGCTGCGTCACTTGTGGTCGGCGAGGAGCTGCTTGAAGTCGGCGAGAAGAGCCTCGACCGTCTTCTTGCCGTGCACCTCGTTGTCGCGCGTGCGCACGTTGACGGCCGCCTCGGCCGCCTCCTCCTTTCCGACGACGAGGATGAAGTTGTACTGCGACAGCTGCGCCTCGCGCACCATCTTGTTGAGGGTGCGGTTCGAGGCGTCGACGTCGCAGTAGAAGCCGGCGGCGTGCAGCTGATTGCGCACCTCCTCGGCGTACTCGTTGAACGCGGCGGAGACGGGGACGACGACGGCCTGCCGCGGCGAGAGGAAGAAGGGCCACTTGCCGGCGAAGTGCTCCGTGAGGATGGCGATCATCCGCTCGACCGAGCCGAGCACCGCGCGGTGAATCATGACGGGCCGCTCGTAGCCGGGCGGTAGGGCACCCGCCGCGCTCTCCTCCTCCCCGTCCTTGGGCGCCTCGGCAGCAGCCGCCGCGGCGCCCGAAGTCATGTACTTGAGGTCGAAGCGCTGCGGCTGCACAAAGTCGAGCTGGACCTGGCGTGGCCAAGGGGCGCGCGCCGTCGGACAGGGCGGGGAGGCACGCCGGCGGCGGGGGCAGCGGGACGAGCACCGTCGCGCACTGGAACGGCCGCTTGAGGGCGTCGTAGACGTGGATGTCGATCTTCGGCCCGTAAAAGGCGCCGTCACCCGGGTTGAGGGACCAGCCGCGGCCGCTCTTGGCCTGGTACTCGTCGAGCGCCTCCGCGATCATCCCCTCGGCCGTCTCCCACACCGCGGCGTCGCCAAGCGCGCTCTCGGGCTTGGTCGAGAGGTTGAGCGCGAAGTCCATCCCGAGCCAGCCGTAGATGGTCGAGATCATGTCGAGCACGTTGGCGATCTCCTGCTTGATCTGCGAGACCATGCAGAAGATGTGCGCGTCGTCCTGCTGGAAGCGGCGCACGCGCGTGAGGCCGGTGAGCGCGCCTGCGGGGCGCGGCGTGGACATGTCACTGGGACGCGTCCTTGGGCGAGAGCCGGTCTCGGCGGGGGAGGCTCGCCCGAGAGCTCGTTGCGGTGCAGCACGCCGAAGTCGGCCATGCGGAGGGGCAGCTCGCGGTAGGAGCGCTTGCGGTGCTTGAACATGAGGCAGTGGCCCGGGCAGTTCATCGCCTTGAGCGCGAAGGGCTGCCCCTCGCAGTCCAGCATGAACATGTTCTCCGCGTACTTGGTCGCGTGGCCAGAGGTCTGCCACAGCTTGAGGTTGTACATGTTCGGCGTGATGACCTGTTTAATAACTTTAATCAGTTAATTAAAGTACTCATCACAGCTGGAGGTTGTGCATGTTCGGCGTGATGACCTCCTCGTAGCCTCGGAGCCACAGCTGGCCGCGGATGAGCTCGACGAGCTTGTTGTACAGCCGACCGCCGAGCGGCTGGAAGAAGCACGACCCGGGCGAGAGGTCGTCGAAGAAGAAGAGCTCCTGCTTGATGCCGATCGCGCGGTGGTCGCGCTTCTTGGCCTCCTCCTGCAGCGCCTTCCACTCGGCGAACTCCTTCTTGTCGGGGAAGGAGACGCCGTACACGCGCTGCAGCTCGTCGTTGCCCGCCTTGCCGAGCCAGAGCGCGGCCGACGTCTTCGTGACGGCGAAGGCCTTGACCTTGCCCGTGTTTGGGAGGTGTGGGCCACGGCAGAGGTCGACAAAGGGGCCTGGAGGAGAGGGGGGGGGGGGGGCGCTGGCTCAGATAGCGCGGTTTTCTAGGCCGCTGGCATCTCGCTCATCGAGGTCAGTGCCCAGTGCGTCTCATCACGGCCAGAGGGGGAAGGCCTGCCACCCCCTCGAGGGGACCCCGCACGGGTACCCCGCACGGGTACCCCGCACGGGGGACCCTTGTGCAGCCCTTCTGCCCCGCCCTCCCCTCCTCTCCTACCCGGCCGACCCGGCCAAGCCCTGGCCAGGCCCCTCCTCCCCCGTCTCCTCTCCGGGCCAGCGCGCGCCTCGCCCAACACGTGCGCCGAAGAGTGCCTACGGTCACACCGCCAGCCGCGCCTGAGCCCTCGCGCCTCCCTCCCGCAAGCTGCGCGGTCGGCGGGAGAGAGAGGGCGCCAGAAGGTCTCCTTGCCGGCGGGCTCGTCCCACTTGTGCAGCCGCAGCTCGCAGTCTCCCTCCAGAGGCCTGACGAGGCCACCGCGCGGTGAGGCCCACGTGCTGGCGGAGGGAGGCGGGGAGGAGCAGACGAGCCGCGCCGTTGCACATCCCACATCTCCCACTCTGCCGCCGCGGGAGCCCCGCCCGCAGACTCGTCGCCGTCGGCGTCGACGATCTGCACCGTCCCGGCGTGGCGCTTGGAGTAGCGGACCTACCGCCAAACAGTCGTCCGCTGAGCGAGGAGGCTCGCGCTGCCGTCCGTGGGCCGACAGGCGGCGAGCCGAGGCGACGCAGGTGGCAGAGGCGAGGCCCTTTGAGATACCGGAGGCAATGTCGAGGGGCGAGGTCTCCCACGCCTTGCCCTCGATGGCCTTGCCGTCGGGCAGGGTCACTGTGATCGGCGGCTTTGGCAACGCCTCCAGCGCCGCCGCATTCCGCTGCTTGATCTCCTCGAGCAGCGCCAGCCGCTCTCCGATCCAGGCCTGCCCAAGGGGTGGGAGTGTTGGACCTCCTCGCGCGCCACGCCACGCGTGTGACGAGCGGCGCACACCGGCTCCGCTGCCAGGTCGAAGGGCACGCCGAGCCGGCCTGCTCCGATCTCGCCGCCGCTCGAGGCAGCGGTGCGCTTGCCCTCCTTGCGTGAGTGCGAGCTGTCAGCGGCGGCCATGTCGCTCGCGGCGGCGGCTAGAGTTGTGGCCGACAGCTCTGGGTACAGCGCGGCCAGCTTCTTGAGCGCGGCGCTGTTGTCGAGCATCGCTTGAGAGCTCGATGACATTTAATCCACACGGACGGACGCAAGGACGCGGAGCTGGCTGGACGTGGAGCTAGCTGTGGTCACCACGCAGCTGGCCAGCGGCACGCTTTTCTTTTCCAGCCCCCCCCCCCCCCCCCGAGATGATGAGCCACGGTCTGGCGGGTGGAGTGCTCTCTACTGCCGCGGCGCCCCTGTCGGTTCGGAGGCGCCCGGCGGCCGCGCGCTTGGTGCCGAGGCGTCGGTGTGTGCATATCTGCTAGCCGCAACAACCCCAGCACCAGCAAGCAGCAAGCCTCGACACCATCTCAACATGTCAGTATGTTCATATTATACCAAAAGGAGGGCTACACGACGCCCTCAACGCTGGGGTGCCAAGTCAGTATTTCTCTCGCTCCGGTCGGGACAGAGGAGTTGGCAGGGGTGGCGGGCTCAGGTGGTCCTGGCCTGCCATACACCCGATGCAAATGGGCCAAACCTTGGCACAGCCTCGCACAGCATCTAAGGATTGTACAGCCGCCTTGGCCCACTACGGAAACGGGAGTCTGGGACATTGCCCTCAACGAGGCACGCCTGTTCATTGCCTTGCCTTCAAAGGTCCTGATAAGGCTGCGCTACGTTCCCGTATGGAGATGCAAGGGCCAGTCCTTGCTTCAGCAAAACGGATGGCTGAGAGAAAAGCGAGTATCTCAAAGAGAGCAGGGCCCTTACACTTATTCGTGATGGCCGGGGCTGGGACAGGATCCTCTGCATTGCTTGCGCTTCTCGTGTCATCACCCAACGTCACCTTCCTAAAGACTGAACGGCTGGGCGAGGGCATGTGGGCTTTGCAGCGTGCCGGGCTGTTCACATGGAAGCGTCGCTGGGAACCAGAACTCCCAAAGGATTGGGGCGCAGCCATGCGTGTGTGGGACAACATTTGGGACCCGTCCAAGTCGGTGCGCGTGGAAAAGTCCCCCGAGTGGCACATACCTGGTCGAATGGAGAGGATCCTGGATTACTTCGAAGGCAGCGTTCCGTTGGCTTGCTTTTCATGTCACGATCCTCATGCTATCGGGCCGCAGCCTTGAACGGACATGAGCAGAATTATCCATGCCATGATATTCAATCAATGCTGCTCCATGCGGTCTATGCAGTACGGAAAGCGAACATCCGATGGACAATGGTCGCATACGAGGACTTGGTTCGCGACCCTTATGTGGTTGCAGCACATATCTTGCGCGCATTCCCCGAAATTGGCCTCATCAATCCAAATGCCCAGAGCCCACAAGTGTGGCATCACGGCCGCAATCGTCATTCATCAAAGTCTATTGTGCAGTACATCCTAGCTCACGAAACTTTTCAGAACAGTAACCACACAACCAGCGCACAGGCAATGCTGGACAACTGTTTGGGATATGATCAGGGGGGGCAGGGGGGGCCGGAGACCGACAGTGCCGCGAGCGAGTGAGCGGCGTCGACCGCTCTTACTACTCTTACTCTTACTGCTCTTACTACTCTCCAAGGAGCCCTTCCGTGCCTGGGCGGCGAAGGGGTATCCAGCTGGCCACGGTCTGTGCGCTGGCCACTGTCGTGCACCTCCTTCCTATGAATGATGTGCAGAGCTGCAGCGTGCAGGGTCGTGTGGTGTGGGGGGTATGTAATGGTGCGGTGTCTCTGTCTGGGTCTGTCTGCTCTCTGCTGTTCACATTATGCTAGTTGCTACACTTTTGCGGAGCCGAACCCGAAGGAAGACGCAAAACGCTATAATCTGATAATACACATTAACATCACGCTACTGTCGGTTGGCATAACATAAAAGCATTGACACCAAAATGAATGAACACCTCACACTCCACCATATCGCGAGGACGGCTCGGCGAGGGGCTCACGGCGGGGTCGCACACGGCAGGGGTGACGGGGCCGCTGTGGAGAGCGATGTGGTCAGGGGAACGACGAAACACAAATGGGACAAGCGCCAGCGGATCAAGGATCAGCACGGCGAGCGCGCTTTTGTTTTCCAGGCGAGATGATTGAGCTTTTTCTAGTCCGAGCCTGGCTGTTCTTCACCTTTCTACCTACCTACCTACCTTTTTCTGTGCGCAGTACAACAAAACAACAACGCACAAACACACACACACACACACACACAACACCAACACACAGCGTTCTGTGCCCCCCCCTCAAGTGCATTTTGTAAAAAGAGGGAGGGCGCGTCTTCCTGCCTTCGCCTCCTCCTCCGCCAGCTGTGCACCGCACGCCTGTGTGTCGCTCGAGCGAGCGTGTCGTCGTCATCTGTCTCGCGTCCACCCATACCGCGCGAACCTCCTCCTCCTCTCCACCTCCTCTCCACCTCCCCTACCACCTCCCCTCCACCTCCCCTCCACCTCCCCTCCACCTCCCCTCCACCTCCTTCTCCGAGCACGCGCACTGGATCGCGCGCTCGGAAGACGCGCCCGTGGACGCAGTTCGGGGCGCCCTCTACCCAGTCATCAGCGCGGGTGAAGGCGCGCACGACCTGACGATCGAGTGCGCGACGCCATTCAGCGACCGAACGGAACGCGACATCGAGAATGAGGCGGTATCGACGGCGGGACCGTCACGCGGACGGCGGAGGATGCACTCGAAGGGCGGGCGGAGCCGTCCGCAGTCGGCGTGGAGCGGCCAGATAGGGGCATGCGGGCGGCCGTTGCGCGCGAGGTTGCACTAGGTGCGCGGTGCGCGTTTCCGCTTTTTTTTGTTTTGAGTGCGCGCGCGAGTGGCGAGTGCTGTACGATTACTCGTGATGTGTGGCTGTGCTCCGGGTAGTGAACGAGAGAATGCCCGGGAAGTCTGCAGGGAGAAGAGGGGAGGACAAAACGTTTGCGACCGCAGCCGCAGACAGACAGGCATGGAGGACGGGGAGGACAAAACTCGCTTCGCAGTCAGTGCTAGCTAGTGAATGAAGAGTAATAGAACATGCGTGGAGTTGGTGGTGCGTGATGGTGGTGGTCAGACGATCTGGCTCATCTGAGCATGCGCCCCCGGCTCATCGCAGCCTTCTGCAACTAGCTCGTCGCCCACCGAGTCGTCGCGGCAACCCAGCGCTGGCAACTCACCAGGCATGCCATGCAAACCCACTGACTGCTCCTGCAGCTCTGTCTTTGAAGAGGAGCCGCGGGTCTGCGCCGTTCGAGCGAGGGCGGTGCCGCGGCGCACGCGTGACTGAGCCGTCTGCTTGGTCGCGCCGAGCGCTTGTGCGAGGAGGGCGATCGACACCTGGCGGTGCGGGTCCTCGTGGCAGCCGACGGCGAGGTCGTCGTACAGCCCATCGGCAATCAGGTCGCGCGGCGTCACCTCGAAAAAGCGCCCAAAGATGCAGCCGCCGAGCGCGGCGTCGTTCTCGTGCGCCATGACGATTGGCAGCTTGGCCTCGCGCGCGGCGCGCACCTGCTCTGCGAGCGCCTCGGCGCCATCGCCAGCCCACGTCGACCACTTCAAGTAGAGTAGCATGTGCGTCGCCTCGTCGCCGCCGCTGTCGCTCGCGCGAGGTAGCGAGGAGAGGCGCGAGGGCGGTGCGTCGGTGACAGAGATGCTGCCAGCCACGGCGGCCACGACCGCATTGGCGAGATCTCGCGCCCCGTCGTTCACAGTCGAGGCCCAGAGAACCACCGGCTTGGGGAAGGCGAGGCCGTCAGCTCGTAGCTCGCCCGGGATGCACAGGGGCAGCGCGTCCTCGCCCGCGTACTTTGGCGTCTTCAACAGCAGCGCCTCGGCGATGACCTTGAGCGAGACGTGCTGAAAGTCCTCGATCCGATGCCACACCACCATCGGCCAGCCGGCGTCAAAGATGGCGGCCTGAAGCTCCTCGGGGCACTCGGACCGCAGCTCGGCGAGCGTGCCTCCGCCCTTGGCCGGGTCTGCCTCGTGGACGAGCACGAGCGGCTTGCCCATCTCCAGCGCTGCGCGGACCTCTCGCAAGCAGTTTGTCGAGCGCAAGTAGCCCCGCGAGAGGAAGCAGAGCACCACCTGCGAGCGACCAATGTACGCCTCCAGCTCTCCGATGTTCTTGAGGTCGTCGACGTCGAGGAAGATCTCGCAGCCGGGGAGGAACTGCTGGAGCTCGTTCTTGATGACAGCGACGGCGTCCTAAAAGGGAGGAGGGTCAGGTCGTCTCCGCACGAGCAAAACGGTGGGGCAGGGGGTGGCAAACCTGCCCCGTGCTCCAGACGTGGCTGAGGAAGAGGTGCCACTGCTGGCCTTCGGCGAGGGTGATGCCTTCGCGCATCGGCTCGCGCTTCGACGAGACGAGCCGCATGAGGGCGCGCCTTCCAACCCGATCTAACGGAAATGTAATCCGATCGCCACTCGATGATGCCGTCCTTCGCCACCGCGCCACTCGGTCCCGAGGTCCCACAGTACCTCACGCCGTTGACGGTGAGATAGTCGTAGATGAAGCCACTCTCCACATCAAAGGCGACCACCTCCAGCCCAACCGGCGGCACGCCGCTGATGGTGCACATCTCGTTGTTGCCGTAGCTGAGCGGGTAGTTTGGCGACGCGGCGCACGAGCCGCCGTCGGTGAGCGAGCACGGGCCGGTGATGAAGTAGCCGCCAGGGAGGAGCGGCGAAGGCGGCGGTGAAGGCGGGTACGGCGGAGCCCGGGGTACGACGGAGCAATCAATGCCACCAGCTTGTTCAATGCACACTTCAGCGTTCGGTGGCCCCATGTCTCCGGTAGGATCGTAGGGATAGCATCCCGAAGGGATCTCATTGACGCACGCGACGCACTTGCACGCCACGCATTCGCCACATGCATTCTGCGCGGCCACCCTGCCGACGAGCAGCGCGGCGGCGGCCAAGCGGACGTGTGTGACGGATACTCCGAGCGAGGCGACTCGCGAACGCCCGAGCAGCAAGGATCCCGCGCAGACGAGGCCCGTCTCGACCAAGCCGAGGCCCGTCTCGACCAGCTTTCGGAGCTGCCCAGCGGCCCACGACTCGGGCACGTTCACGGGCATGATCTCGGTCAGCTTGGTCGGGTGGTGCCCCTTCGCCACCTCAATCTTTGACGCCTCGGGTTCGAACACTGCGTGCCCGTCCGCCGTGGCGGGTTGGCAGGTGCCCACCTGGGCGGCACGGGAGAGACGCTCAGACAGGAGACTTAGACAGCAGGCGGGCGGGCGGCGGCAGGAGATGGGGAGGACCAGAGAGGCGTTTCAGTGCGTGATGCACCAGCGTGGCGGGTGCAGTGCACCTGACTCGCCCGCTCCAGCTCTCCCGTTTCGACCTCGAGCAGCGAGGAGTCGGTGAAGTGGAAGGAGGCGGGGACTCGAGAAGGGTTCGCCAATCTGTCGATCGCCCGCCACTCGCCGCCGGCGCGCACGCAAGAGACAGAGAGATTGACGAAAGCTGTCGGGCACGAGATGATCGCCCGGTGTGTGGCCGCGGCCGTGCTGAGGACGATGACGGCGACGCTCATTGGCAACGGAGAAGCGCGCTTGCGGCAATCCTTCACCCTGTCCTTCACGCGCCGCGATCAAGACCGCCGCGATTGCTATACGGCGTGTCACGTATGTTTTTTCTTCCTTTATCACTTGCGCCGCCGGCTCGTCGCGGCCTTCTGCGGGTCCGCGTGGCAGCCGACGGCGAGCCCATCGGCAATCAGGTCGCGCGGCGTCACCTCGAAAAAGCGCTGGATACCAGGGACCCCACACCTCTTCACCCCTACCCTACCCCTAGAGCTCAGAAGCGGCTTCAGCTTGATCTTCGGTAAAGTAAAGAAGAAGAAGAAAAAAAGATGCGCTCTTCGAAGACTGAACAGCCTCGCCGCGCCGCAAGCAAGCGAACGACACACGGCTCACAATCAGTCAGAACTGTGCTAGTGCCGCCTGTGTATATGGGCACCTGAGATTGAGGGCCAGACCGCGTCCGCACGCGCGCACGTGGCGCAGTTGCGCGAGTTCGTTCGTTCAGCGCGGCTCGTGGCTGAACTGCACGCCGAACGAACGAACTCCGGGCGATGATTTTCTTTTTTCCTAAATTCGAACGGAGTTCACGAACGTTCGTTCGTTTTCGCAGTTCGCGCCTTCCACAGCCGGCGCGGTCCGTTCAGTTTCGAGGTTCGGGCTGGGCCCCGCCGGCTGCGTTTGTTCGAGTTCGGAGTTCGCGAAATCCGCGCGAACTCGAAGGGCTGTTGTTTATTCCAGAGACCTCGAGACCTCGATCGAGGTCTTGCTCTCCTCTCGACGCAGGGCGCTGCCATCAAGGCAACGATGTGGTGGCTCCACGCGGCTGCTGTGATACGCTCGCCGCTCCTTGCGCATCGGATCCGAGGTGCTCCCGTCGCCTCGGCCGTCGCGCCCAAGCTCGACGGCCAGTTCGGCTCGCGTGGCGACGTCCTCGCGTCGCTCGCGGCGGCAGCCGAGCGCGCCGCCGAGGCGGAGGCGGGAGTGGCTCGCCTCTCGGCGTCCCTCTTGGCGGAGGAGGCCCGGGTGGCGACCCTCGGCGCGGACGCGCGGGCGGCGTCCGAGCCCAGTCGCCTAGCGATGGAGGCGGAGCTCGCGCAGCACAAGGCGACCCTTGCGCAGAGCAAGGGGGAGTTCAGCTCGTACTATGCAGCCTGGCTCGCAGACGGCCCGGCGCTGGACGGCAGCGGCGGTCTCCCGCCCCTCCCCGACGCCATCCAGCCGCCCGACGGCATTGCTGCCGGTCCCCTTGGGGGCGAGGCTTCGGGCTCGAGCGTGCTGCCGCCGAGCGCGGGCTCAGAGGAGGCTGCGAAGCGTGCGTGGCTCTCTCGGCTGGACGCTCCGTCGTGGGGGACGGCGGCAGCGGTCGTCGCGGAGGCGTCGGCGGCCGCCGCCGCGGAGGCGGACCTGCTAGCCAAGTGCGACGCGGGCGTGCAGCAGGCGTGCAGCCAGCGCGGCGTGGAAGAGGAGGCGAAGAGGGCGTGGCTGCAGAAGCTGGACGCGCCGACCTGGCAGCGCTCGCTCCGTGCCGCACGCCTCGCCGACCGAGCCCCTGACCTGAGCCGCGGCCCACCCGTAGGGGCGCCGTGGCTGCGGCGGTGTCGGAGGTCGCTACGACGGTGGCTTCGCCGGGCTCCGACCCGGAGGCTTCCGAGGAGGCTGCAAAGCAGGCCAGAGAGGGGCCTCCCCCCGCGCCGCCCGCGCCCGTCGCCGACGCCTCGGCGGCGCGCTCTGCCCCGCAGGCGTGGCTGTCCCGGCTCGATGCGCCGGAGTGGGGCAAGGCGGCGACGGCGCTCACCCGCGTGGCCGCGTGGGAGGTTGCCGGCTCGGCGGCGGCGGTGGCGGAGCTGGCCGAGGCGTGCGGCTCCGGCGACGCCGCCGCGTGCGACACGCTCTCGCGCGAGGAGGAGGCGAAGGCGGCCTGGCTGGCCAAGCTCGACGCGCCGACGTGGGCCGCGGCGACGGCGGCGGTGTCTGCCGTGGCGTCCGAGGTTGCGGCCGAGCCGGCGATGGATGCGGAGGAGATCGCAAAGGCCGCGTGGCTGGCCAAGTTCGACACGCCGTCTTGGGGCGCTGCCGCCTCGCAGGCTGCACCGCCGCCGCTAATAGCAGCAGTGCCTCCGCCAGCGTCGTCGGCATCGGCAGCGCTGGCGGCATCGTCCTCGTCGTCGTCCGCCGAGGCGGCAGCCAAGGCGGCGTGGCTGGCTAGGCTTGAGGCGCCGTCTTGGGGCGGAGCGACCAAGTCCGCGGCGGCAGCGCTGGCGGCATCGTCGTCGTCGTCGTCCGCCGAGGCGGCAGCCAAGGCGGCGTGGCTGGGTAGGCTCGAGGCGCCGTCTTGGGGCGCAGGGACGCCGGCACCCGCATTCCCAGCGGCAGCGTCGCCGCCGCAGCAGCCGTCGGCGCCGCTGCCGCCCGCAGCTGCGGCCGGGTCGTCGGTTGTCGCGTCCGAGGCGGACGCAGCCAAGGCGGCGTGGCTGGGTAGGCTTGAGGCGCCCTCTTGGGGCGCCGCGGCCTCGCCGCCGCCCTTCGCGGCCCCGCCGCCTCCCCCGCAGCAGCCCCCATTCCCGGTCGCCCCCGTCGCCCCCGTCGAGGGGGGGGCAGGCGCGTGGGGCTCGCAGGCTAGCGACGGAGGGGAGAGCTGGCGTGCGGCGCCGCCTCCCTCCTCTGGCGGGCATAAGGTGATTGATACACCTCCGCCTCCCTCCTCTGGCGGGCGGGCTCCCCCCCCCGCCACGTGGCGGGGTGCCCCCCCAGCCACGTCCCTCCGCGACGCCGCGACGTTCGGCTTGGCCGGCGCGCCCATGCTTGTCGCTGCCATCGTCAGCGTGGCGGACCGGCAGCTGATGCAACCGATGGAGCGCCTCTCCTGCTGCCACCGCACACGCCGTCTTGGAGCGGCTGCCCACCCCCACTCCCGCGTGAGCAGGAGCTCCTCTTCTTCCTCGCCAAATACCTCCTCTACGTGGCGGTCGTCCTCGCCCTCCGCTAGAGGGGAGGCATCGGACACGAGGACGAGCGTCGGAGGAGACACGAGAGCATCGCCGCCGCGCCTCAGGCCCGAGCCTCGGCGCTGCTCGTGCAGGGACCAGGGTGCATCGTACTACGCTACTGGGCTGCAACGGAGGCAGCTTATGCGTGCCGTGCATGTCTCGCATGCCGGGAAGGGCCAGGGGTGTAGAAGAGGTCATCAGCTTGGCCCGATCCGCGGGACCGCGGCGGCCCCACCCAGCGCACACGCCGCGACGCCGCCTCGCCCGGGGGGGGACACCAGTCACCACTTCTGTGCCACTCGCGGCTTGTCGCACCCAGATGTAGATCCGGTGGTGGAAGAGAGAGGATAGCCTCGCGCATACACACATATGGTTGCATCTCACAACACACACACGGTCATCGATCATCGTGCCCTCTCGGACAAAATCGCGCCGTAAAAAACTCTAGAGAAATCGCGTACACGGCGTACCTTGTGGACAGCGGAGCCAATATGTGTTGTGCTCGGACGTGTATTATGTGACGCGTTGCTGCGGTGCGAGGGCGTTCTAGGAGCAAACAAGGGCGTCTACCATGCCGCGGTGCGTGGCGGTCGGCCTCCCCTCCTGCACTGGGCAAAAGCACGCGGCGGCAAGCCTGGTGGCCTCGTCAGTCGGCGGAGACGCCCTTGACGAGCACCTGGAGGTGGCGGGGAGGGCGGGAGGGAGGGGGAGGGTGAGGGTGCGGGAGGGTGCGGGAGAGAGGAGGTGGGTTGAGAGGCTCTCTCCTGGTCGATGAGCCAGATCTGCCCGTCGACCGTCTCGTGCTTTGTGAACTGGAAGGTCACCTGCGCGCGGGGCAGAGGAGTGGAGCGCCGGGGCGGGAGAGCGGTCTCGCGGGGGTGAAGGGGACCGGCACGGCCTCGCCACTCCTGCCCCGGAGCAGGCACTGCTGCAGCGCCTTCTTCTTGTCGATGGACAGCTCGAGCTTCTTCGGGTACGAGACCGACACCCAGTCCAGCAGCACAGCGTACCTGCGACACACAACACACGGAGGAGGCCGTTGGGGCCCTCGACCCCCTCTGGCGAAGAGGAGAGGCGCGCGAGGCGGCACTTTGAGTCTTGAAAGTACCCGAGCAGCATCGGAGCCGTGACCTATGGGGCATGTTCCGGACGCGTCCTCGACATGTCTCGTGAGAGTGCGGCAGCAGCGCCGGAGCCGTGGCCGAGGAGCCCATGTGGATGCTCGAGCCAGGCCCCGAGAAGCGCCTGGCCGCACGCCCCTCGCGCGTCAAGGACGGCGGGCGGGAGGGGCAGGCTGGGCCGGGAGGAGGGCAGGAGGGCGGCTTGGAGGAGCGTGCATGAGAGTTAGGGTTAGGGTTAGGGTTAGGGTTAGGGTTAGGGTTAGGGTTAGGGTTAGGCTGGAGGAGCGTGCATGAGAGTCTCGACGCCCGCGGCAGGGTTACTGCGATCCGCGCGGTCCTCGCGGAGAGCGATCAGCACCAGGTCGATGATCTCGCCTGGGGTCTGCCCGGGCGTTGGCACCGCCGCCTCGCGCCCCTTTGCCTCCTCCAGGTTGGAGTAGATTGGGTCGACGACGTCGATCCGGTTCCGCAGAGCTTTGTACAGCTCAGAAGTTTCGTAGTCAGGTCGCCGCTGCAGGTGCGCGTAGAGCTCGGAGGTGAACTCCCGCGTGCCAATCTCTTCCGCAAGATCGCGAGCAAGCGAATCCTCCTCTGCTGCAGCCGAGTCTTTCGGCGCGGCCCCCTCGCCGCCGTCTGCCCCCGGTGCGCTGCCATCAGCGCACAGCGTCGATGCCCGGCTGCGCTGATGGCGGAGCGGCGGCCCGTGCGGCGCGCCAGGCTGGTAGGCGGAGCAGCCCAGGAGCAGCAGCGCCGCCGCCCCAACGATGCCTCCTCTCATCACCGCTCGGGTTCGGGCTTCTTGGGGGTAGGGTCTCTTCAACCACCTCCAGTCTCGACACCCCGCCATAAAAACGGTATGGCGGTGGAGTGCTCTCTACTGCCGCGGCGCCCCTGTCGGTTCGGAGGCGCCCGGCGGCCGCGCGCTTGGTGCCGACGTCGACCGGCTGCTCTCGCGGCGCCGAGACGTGCCGCTTTGGTCACGTCTCGCGCGGTGCGAAGTGTCTTTTGGCATGTGAGCGCTTGCCATGGACGCCAGGATGCTTGGCTTCCACGCCTGCGGCCGCGGGCGAGGGGGCGGGCACGCCAGGCTCGGCGACGCTCTGCGCGGGTCTTCGTTCGAGCTCGCAGCCCGCGACGAGCCTGTGCTGACCTTCATTTTGTCGACGCGTGAAAGCGGAGAGTGAGAGTGAGCGTGTCTGGACACCGGACACCGCGGATTGTACAGCTCTAGGCCCCTAGGGGCCCTACGCGCGGCGTGAGGGTGCGGTCAATTTGGGATCCAAGATTACGTCCGTCCGAGGCGTCTCTTGTAAACTGGGATAGGCGCGTCGATTCCGCATGGTACGGGACCCCTCGATCGTCTCGCCCTCCCTCACTGGTGTGGTCATTGGAGGGGGTCTCATCATAAAGCCGTAGTGTCGCGCTATAGTCAGGGCTCTGATTGCGCTACGGCTTTATTCTCCACCACCTTTCTACATTCTAGGGTCGATTCCGCATGATACGGGACCCCTCGATCGTCTCGCGGTCCCGTCGACGAAAGTGAGCTGTCCAGGATCCGCAGGAGTGTCCGCGCGCTGCGCCGCGCTGTGCGGCACCCTGTCATCACCGCGCGCTCCCGCGGCGCTGCGGGCTGTGTGAACGCGAAGCACTTGGCCGAGAACCGAAACGAGCGGGAATATTTTTTGAGCAATCGCTTCACAAGCAAACGTATTATTACACCTCGAGGCCAGCGGCGAGGCGCGCCAGCTTGACCTCCGGCCAGCGAGCGAGCCGCTGATCATGTTGGCGCCTGCGTCGGACACGGCGCAGAGCTGCTGTGCATGCAGGGTTTTGCACACCTCCGTGTGGCAGACCTCCCGATGGCCCGGCATCGAGCCGATGCGCAAGAGTGGTGTCGAGCCGATGCGCTGGTGTGAGCGACGATGGCCCAAGGCCTGGGCTGCCGCGAGTGTGCGAGTGTGCATCTACGGCCTGGCACAGGAGGAGGTGCGTCGGCGCGGCATAGTCGGGCGGCGCGCCGGGCTCGATCGGGCTCCACTCCACTCCGGCGTCGGTGATGCGAAAGCAAGGCTCTGCCTCCGCCTCCTCCGGCTCCGGGCCAGCCACGTCCGACGCGGGCGCGGAGGGTGGCATCTCGAAGCCGCTGAGCGCGTCCGAGCGAGTGTTTGGCTCCGTGGAGACGCTGGCCGTGCGGCCGCCGCGCCAGCCGAGCGGCCGGATCTCGGAGCCCTCCACCTGTCCATCAATCAGCTGGGTTGATTGCCCCGACTCATGCAGAGACAGGGCCTCGGAGCCGTCCCACGTCGTCGTGCTCGTCGCCCGACCGAAGCGCCTACAGCAGCAGCAGCGTCGAGCTCACTGCAACACCTGCCCCGCGGTCCCGCCCTTCCTCGCCCGGGCGAGAGGGCGCCACGCGATAGACGAAGCCTCGCCCGCCTCGCCCCACGCCAACCACAGTCCCCTCGAACCACCCCTCGTCGTCAAAGTCGACCTCGACGGCAGCACCGACCGCGAAGGGAGCATCCCCAACCTCCGCGGCAGCCGCCTCCGAGCCCACGCCCGCCGCCTCCCCCGCCGCCCCCCCGCCAGCCCCTCCGCCAGCCCCTCCGCCAGCCCCTGCTGCCGCACCCTCTCCAGCCCCACCTCGCCGACCGCCCTCCCTCTCGCCCGCCGGGCCGCACCTGCGAAAGCGCCTCCGAGATGAGCCGAGATGAGCCGAGAGTGGTTGACTCTCGCCCGCCGGGCCGCACCCTCGCCCGGCGGATCCATCCGACTGCCCCTCCGACCGCCCCTCCGACTGCTCCTCGAGCTTCCCCTCCAGCCTCCCCTCGATCTGCCCCTCCGCCTCCGAAGCCCCTTCCCCGCCGGCCGGCTCCGCCTTAGCCGCCTCTGAGTCGAGCAAGTCGAGCTGCAGGCTCGCAGAGTCGATCCGCGGCAGCGCGCGAGCCAGCCCCGCGGCCGTGCCCTCCCTAGCCGGCGCCGCGCGCCCCGACGGCATCCACGGCTCGTCGGATCGCCCTCCCTCGGGCGAGGAGGCGCTCTCCGAGTACGCCTCTGTGCCGGACGAGTCCTCGCGGCTCCTCTCCGAGATGTTGGAGAGGCGCGCCTCGCGAAGCGCAAGCCGCCGCCGCGCGCGCTCTGCGCGACTGGCGCGACCTCCTCGGCGCCCGGCCGGCGTGGGCAGCGGCGGGTGGGCGCCCGCGGCCTGGCGCACGAAGGTTGTGCGCGAGCGAGCCTCGTAGAGGGACGTGTAGTGGCTGGCAACCTCCTCGGAGAGCGGCGCCGCGGGCACGGCGTCGCCGAGCCTCTCATCCGCCTCGCCCTCGTCGAACTCGTCCAGCAGCGCCTCGTCGGCGATCCAGAGCAGGTTGACGTCGCGGCCGATTGCCATCCCCAGCTGGCGCGCTGCAGCCAGGACGAGCGTCACCGGGTTCTCAAAGTCCCACGACTTGCCGTTGAGCCTGAACTGCGTCGGCCGGTCCGACCGGACGCTGCAGTCGCTGTCGTCCTCGCTCTCGTCCATGGCCCAAGACGCACAAGCACAGACAGTGGCCAAATTCACACATCGCGGCCAAATTCACCAGCAGCGGATCCAGCTGTTTCCACACCGAGGGCCGCCCCCACGACTGCACGTCACCCAGATACGCGACAGCGTCCTGCACGACCAGCGCCATGCCGAGCGCGCACCACCACACGCCCGCGTCGTAAGATCGCATACGGTCAGCGAAGAGCAGCAGAAGCAGGCCAGCAAATGAGTAGCCACCCGCGGAGTATCTGTACGCCACAGCGAGCGGGTGTCGCGAGAAGACGTAAGGCCGCCACTCAGGTCTATCGGCCGAAGGGTCGGAGCGAACGAGGTGGAGCATGGACTCCTCGCATCGAAGACTTTCCGAAGACGTGTGCGATGGCCAAAAGGGAATCCAAGTCTGGGTGGATTCAGCTGGGCGTTCACACACTTTCAAGATTTTACAGCTCACGGCCGCCCCGCCTTCAAACCTTTAATTCGGCTGACCTCTGAGCTCTCTGTAAACGCGAATCAAAAGGCAAAACACCGGTGGTCCTCTTGCGTAAAGCCGTACGTCAGCAACGCCCAAGAAAGAGAACTCGTTGCCGAATGTGGTGCACCGTATGTGCGCGAAATAGGTTATAAGGCTTTCGCAATCGCCACCTTGTTGTCGTCGTTGAAAGCGAGGATCCGCAGCGCCCCCGCGGCCCGATACTTCTGCCTGCCCGTGCCGTCGAGGGGCCGAGGGCGTCGGCCGCTCGAGAGCGGTGACGGACGCGTCGGCGGTGGGGAAGGTGGCGGAGGCGACAGCGCCACAGAGGGCAGTGACGGAGACAGCAGCGACGGCGAGGTGGCGCCGGCGGGGGTGGGGACGGTGAGGGCGGGCGGGGGGGGGGGGGGGGGGGGGAGCGGCAACGGCGGAGATGAAGACGGCGGCGGCGTGGTCAGCGGCGGCGATGGAGGAGGCGGTATAGGCGGTGTTGAGAGGGGCGGCAGAGAGGGAGACGACAGTGACTGCGGCGGCGAAGAGGGTGGGTGTGCGACGGTGGTGGCGAGGGCGTCTGCGGCGAGGGCAGCGGTGACGATGGTGGCGGGCTCGCAAGAGGAGGACTCGGGGATGGCGGAGATCGTGACGTCGGTGTTGGGGGGGGCGGAGAGGGCGGCGGCAAGGGCGGTGGCGGTGGGGAGGGTGGCTGGTGGAGAGAAGTGTCGGGATGAGCGATGGTGAAGGCATGGAGGAAGTACGCGAGAGGGATCGGCGGAAGTGGAGGTGTGGGTTGCCGCTACGTTCCTAAGATAGCGACAGTGATTTAGTGCTGATAACGGGACTGCGATACGTGTGCGCGTGGTGTGTAGGCGTGTAGGCTCAGGCCTGTCAGCGCAGCGCGGCGTTTGAGTGAGGTGGGGCGGGATGGCGAGGAGAGAGATTGTGTCAGTAGCGGAGGAGGGTGTTGGGAGGCCGTCTGGGTCTAGCTCGGCGCTGCCGTCGGTCGCGAGGTCCGTGACGTAAGTTGAAGTAATCTCGCGGACGGTGGGGTCCGATATGATTATCATTGGGTGATGAATGACAGAGGAGATGCGGGTTTGGGAGGGTGTGGATTCACTAGTCGTTAGAGATCGCCGAATGATCACGCTCGCGTGCAGGCGAACAGGGTAAGGGAGACACCTTTGCGACGCCGCGAATCCAGTCGATCTGCGCGCACGGCGGTAGAGCGAGGGTCGAGACGATCGGCGTCCAGATGTCGTGCTGCAGGTACTGAAACGGCGCCTCCGGGTCGCAGCGGCTCTTGTGGTGCGCGTCTCGTACCAGTGGCGTGACGTTCTGAAGCCGGCGTAGCTGGCATTCGATGGACTTGTAGCTGCGGGCACCGACGCGGATCTCGTTGATCTTCGCGCCGCTCTGGTACGAGTGCAGCAGTAGGCGGTCCTCCTCGAGCGTCCACGGAGTGTAGTTTGAGTTCATCGACACGTTTTTCTTGCATTTTTGCTCCCGGCTAAGGGAGCAAGCAAGCCCACTCAACCCCAAGTACTCACCATTCTTACAGTGGTGTAGCTTGTGCAGAGGCTGCAGCCTCTGCTGGGGCGGAATGCGCGGGGTTTTCGGCGCGATGCCCTCGGCGAGTACACGCTACTGCTGTGCCGCACGCTCTCCTGCGCGCGCGTGACGTGTGGGACGCGTGCGCTGCGCTCAAACGTCGCGATTTGGCGATAGGCGCTCGAGCCGGCGCACAGCGGGCGGGTGCGCCGCGCAGGGGGGGTCGGAGGGGTGCGAGAGGGGGCGTGGGTCGGGCGCGCACCGGCTGGCTCCGGGAGCGGCCGTCACGTCGAGGAGTGGGGCTGTCGGCGGCTCGAGCGCCGAGGCGAGCCGCTCTGCTGCGCCGCCGACAGCCCCTCTTCCGAGCCGGCGCGTGGAGGCGAGCCGCGGCCGGTGTCGCTGGTGCGGGGGCGGCGAGGGTTCATCGGCCGGCAGCGAGAGCGACCGTCATGAATCGCGCCACCAAGACCGCGCGGCACGTACGCGCACTTGCCGGCCTCGAGGCGCGCTCTCCTTGCGCGGCATGCCCTGTGTGTGTCAGCGCTTCGCCTCGGAGCCGCTCGACTGTACGAGAGTCGGGCTCCGGCCCTCGGTACCACGGCAGCGTCGGCGTGCTCCCTTCCGGCCGCGACAGGCGCGAGGCGGGTGGCGGTGCGGCGGCTGCTGATGCTGCTGCCGCGCAGAGCTGTCGTGCACCCGAGAAGTGGCACACAGCTCGAAGGCGGCGTCGGCGACCGCCGCGCTGGCTCTCTCTCCTCGGCAGACGCCGCGTCGCGTCTCGGCGGCGGCAGCTGCTTCGCCGCGAGAGTAGCGAGGCGACGCACGCGCCTCCGCTCTGCGGCAGCAGCCTCTAGCGAACGCGCCGGCATAGCGCCGGGCCGGGCGAGGGCGAGCCGAGAAACACGTTGTGACGGCCCTCGTGTGAATCGCTTATCCGGCGCTCGAGGAAATAACACGGTTCGGGCTTCAAGTTACTTCGAAACCTGTAACGGCGAAAGAAAACGGAGGAAAACGCGAGAAAAGAGAAGGGCTATTGCTCAAACTCCGTCTCTCTGAGAAGAATAGGTGTGCTGCGCTGTAGCGGCGACAGGCGACGGCAAAAATGCAAGCCCCGCCCCTGGCCACTGTTTCGCGCGTGCAGCTTCACGAGAGCGTCCTCGACCCGCGGCTGCAGGCTTGCCTCGGTGTTCAGCTGCGTCTCCGCCTCCTCGCGCTCGTCGCAGGATCCACAGATCAGTCGGAGGTCGTCGAGAGCGTCAGTCTTTTGAGAACCTCTTTCCATCGCCACTTGATTGCATCTTTGCTTCGTTTGGTGGCGGATTCAAACGGCCACTGCTCTGCCACCTTCGGCAACGGGATGCCGTCTCGGACGTGGCGCAGCAGCACGAAGGCATCCATCTCCGGACGCCACGGGACGGCGCTGTGCTTTGATCGGCCGGATGCGTGGACGGCCATGAGGCTGCGACGCATGAGTTGTCAAATCTCGATCGAAACGTAGTTTTCGTAAACGTAGTTGTGGCCCCCCGCTACGTCGCACGAGTGCAACCGGGTAGCGGGGGGCCGGGGGGGGGGGGGGGCTATTCCCCCAACAAAAAAAGAGCTAGATAGGAATTCCCTATTGTGATGTTTCTTAGAGGTGGGTTAAGAGGGAGATTGAATTCCTACAAAACCAAAAAAAAACGTCCTCCTTGACGCTGCAGTCGCTGTCGTCCTCGCTCTCGTCCATGGCCGAGAAGCGTGGTGTGAGCGAGCCGAAGCGAGGTACGAAGAATTTCTGAGCCGCACAACAGTAAAGCTGGCCCCGCGCCCGCGCGCCTACAACGCAGACCGAGAAAAAGAATTCAGGGGCAAAGAATTTAAACAACCGAACTCTCTCTCACAGCAGACAGAAAAATCCCTGTGTGGTGGCGGCGTGCCGTCCTCCCATCCCTCCCTTGCGTTGTCTGTTTTCTTTCTTTCTTTAGCAGACAGAAAAAGAATTCGCCTCACTGACGTGAGCAAATCGCGATGGGCTCCCCGCTCCCGTTCCCCTGTGTCCTTGGCCGCTTTGTGTATCTCGAGACCTCGAGAGAAGGCCGCCCGCCTCCCCGAGGGCCCAAGTCGGAAATTGGCTTTCTTTTCGCGGGCAACCTGTGTCCCTGATCTCGTCCTAGACAAGATCCTGCTCGTGCAGGTGGGGACCCTGAGGGCCCAACTTGAGAATTGGCCTGTCCGAGGTTTTCCGGCAAACAAAAAGGGTTTAAAGAAACAACATAAAAGTTTTCAAAAGGGGCGCAAGTTACGCGGCGAGGGAAAAGGGAGCAAAGAGGGGCAGCAAAAGGGACAAAAGGGACGCAGTGACGCCAGCGGCTGGCAGCGGTGGTCAGGGCGACCAAGCCGGCGATCGCGCTACACTCAGAGATAGGGTGGGTCGGCGTGCGGGTTCGCTGTCCAGTGTCCACCCAACGCGACTCAGAGGTGCATGGCCGAGGCGTCCGAGGCACTGAAGGCAGAAGCCTGGGACGTAAGCACAGGAAAGGTCACTGCCGCTGGGCATCCCGGAACCGGCACTCGTCGTAGACGGGAGGCGCGGCAGAAGCGGTCTGAGGGCGAAAGGAAGCACACCAGGCGGGCAACCTCCAGGCCGCGTGCGATGGAGACGGGCCGCGTGCCATCACAACTTGTCGTAGAGGTCGGGTTCGAAGGTGGCGTGTGGCGCCAGCCAAGCACCACAGGAGGCCGGCCGGAAAGCTATCGGGCTGAAGTCCAAGCTCGGGCTTGACAACGGACATGGCGAGCGCATGCAAAGGCAAGGAATGCGTACGGCCGGGCCAGCTGCATGGCTGTGGCGGGCTGGGACTGGCGAGATGAAAGGAGTGGCAAGCAGCAGCAAGCCTACTCACCCTGCTAGTGCACCCCGGAGGGCCGCACACTCCAAAAAGCACTCTTTGATGGGCGGTCTGTGACAGCATGACAGATCTTCCGTGCATAAGGAGAGCTCAAAGCGCTTGCGCGCCATGCACACACACACGTGGTGAAGACGGCGCCGGTGACTGCCCGGTGTTGAGCTGGTGTTGAGTGAGCGCAGGTTGGATTGTTGTCGTGTGTGCGGCAGCAGGAGGTAAGGTACGAGGAGCTCAAAGCGAGTTGAGAGTTGCGATGCTTAAAAGAGGCTTGTGTGGAGGTCGCCAAATACCGCAGCAAACTGAGCGTGGACGCGCTGTGGGTCAGGCTCAGGGGGATAAAACAGAGGTCTGGGCAACGCGCCGGGAAGTGAGAGAGAGGGAAAGGGGGAAAAGGCCAGCACGGCTGGAGCACCTTTGAGAGCACGGCTGGAAAGGAGAGAGAAAAAAGGGAGCAGGGAGAACGTAGATAGAAAAACTACGGGAATGTACGGATCTCTCTCAATGTACGTGAGAAAAACCGGAAAAATTATGATGAGCGGCTGAGCCGCAATTGATTGAGGACGCGGCGGCACGACGCTCTGCTTTGCGTATGGCCGCCGTCCAACCACCTGCTTGCCTCGCGGATCTCAATGACGATCTGTTGAGGAAGATCATCAGTCGGCTGGCCGAGTCTGAACTAGCTTCCGCGGTCGCCCTCAAAAGATGCAGCAGCCGCTTCAAGGACCTCGCCGCCCCGCTGGTGGCAAACGCTGTGTCAGTTACAAACGAGAAGTGGCAGAGTGCAGCATCCAAAATCGGCGGCCCAGTCGGAGCTAAGATAACAGGCGCCCTCGAACGCAATGAGGTGCTGACGTCCTTGGACGTGGGCGGCAACAAGATCGGGCCAACCGGCGCGACCGCAATCGCCGAGGCGCTCAAGGGCAACGGGGTGCTGACCACCCTCGACCTGAGCGGCAACGAGATATGCAGCATTGACGAGGACGGTGATGGTGAGTACGATGCGTCCGGCATCGTTGCGCTCGCGGACGCCCTCAAGGTCAACGGGGTGCTGACCTCCTTGGATGTGCGCAACAACAAGATCGGCCCCACCGGCGCCACCGCGATCGCCGACGCCCTCAAGGGCAGCGGGGTGCTGAAAACACTCACCCTCCGTTCGAACAACATCGGCGACGAGGGCGCGAAGGCGATCGGCGGCGCTCTCGCAGTCAACGAGGTGCTGACGTCCTTGGACGTAAGCGGCAACAGAATCGGGCCAACCGGCGCGACCGCGATCGCCGAGGCGCTGCGCGTCAATGCGGTGCTGACCAACCTCGATATCGCGTACAATGACATCGGCCCCGGCGGCGCCGAGGCGATCGCCGAGGCACTTCAGGGCAATGGGGTGCTGACCACTCTTAACTTGTCAGGCAACCCATTATTCCGCGGCGGCATCGGCCCCGAGGGTGCCAGCGCGATCGCAGAGGCCCTCAAGGGCAACAAGGTGCTGAACACTATCAACCTCCGCGGCAACTACCTTGGCACGGAGGGCTGGTGCGCGATCTTCGCGGCGCTGCGAGACAACAAGGAGAACAAGATCGAGTCATGGGACCTCTCACGGCAGGGCATCGACGTGGAGGTCGCCAAGGTGCTAGCGGAGTACGTCTCCGGCAGCGCGGTATTGACCTCCTTGGACGTGGGCGGGAACGCGATCGGCGACGAGGGTGCCACGGCGGTGGCCTCCGCTTTGGAGGTCAACGGGATGCTGACCAACTTGAACCTCCGTCGCAACCGCATCCGCGACGAGGGCGCGGCTGCGCTGGCCTCCGCTCTTCGCGTCAACGGGGTGCTGAAAAACATCGACCTCCGCTACAACAGGTTGGGCGACGAGGGGAAGGGAGTAATTCGAGATGCGGTGAGCGGGCGGGAAGGGTTCAAGCTCGAGATGTGAGTGTGAGCTGAGGGCGGGTGTAGAGGATGTAAGTGTAGAGCGCTGTAGAGCTGTAGACAGTGAACCGAAAGGGGAGACAATTGCTGTGAACATGGAATTTGAATAACAATCTCAATGAGAAGAGGACGGCCGATCGACGAATTACACGCGCGAGCTCGCGAGCTCATCTGCATCTCAATCAAATCTCAGGGGGTCGCCGTGTGTATCCTTGATGCGTGACTATATACGGGGTGGTTTCCGCTGACGCCGGGGACGCCGAGGGACGCGACGCACATGATAACGAAGCAGGGAGCATATACACTGAAAGGGAGAAGAGGAATGGGGGAAAAGAGAAGGGTCCGGTTTAAGGGAAAAGGGCGCCGAAAAGGGCGCGCTCATCCGTTTCACCCCAGTCGACCCCCCCCCCCCCCCCCCAGCCTTGTTATTGAGAAGAAAATACGTCCTATGGCGCTGTGCGCTGGTCTGTGAGAGGTTGAGGTGCGAGCCCTGGAAGGCCCTGGGAATGCGGGGAACACATAAGGGTCTGATCACACAGTCGGATCAGGGTCAGGGGGGAGTGGGTTGTCCTCCTTTGGTTCTCACCATGGCCGACTGCAAGCTGGCGCGGCAGGCGAAGCAGGACAAGCAGAGCGGCGGCGGGTGCTGCTCTCTGCCGTCCAACGTGCCGGACGCGGTGGCGGAGCAGTTCCCTGGCGGCATGGGCTGGTGGGACATGCCCAGGCCTCAGCAGCGGCTGCCTGCGCTCCGCGGGGCACTCAAGAGCTTCCCCTGGCGCGAGGGCGCGCCTCAGCTCTCTGGCTGCGTCTTCAGCCAGGCGCCCGCGGCGGAGGCGGCAAAGTTCATGTATGAGGCGACCAAGGTGGACGGCGTTTGGGATCTGCTGCCCGAGAAGATCCGCGGGGTTTACTGGATGCGCGGCAACGGCGTCTCGGAGGAGCTCACCTCGCTGCAGTACGGCGTCTACTACCCCGACCGCCGGCTCCTGCTCGTGCCCTTTGCGCCTGCGACGTGGGGTTGGCCCGCAGGCACGCCCGCCAATGCTCCCTACGGCGGTAACATATACGGCGGAGACCTGACTTACCTCTCGGCGGAGACCCTGCTCGGTGACGCCGGCGCCACCAAAGACCCTGCTACCCGGTCCGCCAAGGACTGGCTGTGCTTCTCCTACGCCTGGCGAGATAGCTCGCTCGAGGACGCGTCGCTCGGCGCGCAGTTCGGCCCGCTCGACCAGCACGGAGGAATGCAGGTGGCGGGCTGCATCACTGGAAAGTTTGGCCTTCACCAGCTGCCGGGCGAGCAGCCGGGTGCGCTCTGGAATCGCTCCTGCAAGTGGGGCGTCGGCCGGGCCGCTTGCCTCGAGTTTGGGAGTTACACCCTCACAAAGGTGATCGACGCGGCCGGCGCGCCGCTCGAGCCGAATCACTCGGAGTTCGTGGACTACATGGGAGACGTGCCAATCTTTTGCTGGACCGGGTTCGAGGACGAGGGTGGAGAGTAAGGCTTCGCCGCTCTTGCCGTGGCGAAGTGTTACACGCGCGACTGTCGGTTTGGTGTGCAGCACTGCTCATGTGAAACTCGCCCCCGGTCGGGGGCGCCTCACGAACTCCACCGCGCGCGGAGAGGCCGCGCGAGACCCAACCGTCACCCGCACCCCGCGCCGGTCCACAGAGCCATGAGCTGAGAGAACCCGCATGGAGTTCCAACGTCGTATTTTTCTCGAGCATGAGGACACAACCGGTAGGGGGGGAAGACCGGCGAGAACCGGTGAACCGCACTCTGCAGAGAACACACGAGCTGCGCTATGTGCGCCTCTCTATCTCTCGAGACTCTCGCTCGCAGCGCAGACCCAAATAACCGCATCGCCATCTGCTCCCTTCTCAGCCATTGAGAAAGAGGGATGGCGCGAACGGAAGGCCGCGGTGCAACGCGCGTCCGCTCGCTTCGAGGCGCGAGCGCAAGTCCGCGTCGCCGAGCGCCTCCGCAGCGGCAGCGAGGTCGACGAGCAGATGCTCGAGTGCGCGGAGAGCGCGCACCAGCTCGCCCTCCCACGCCTCGCCAAAGCACGCCTGGTGCGACTCGACGAAGGAGGCGCCCGAGGCCCACGAGAGGGTGGCACGCGCGAGGGCCTACGCGCAAGACTCGCTCCTCCCCCACCCGCCCTCTCCCTGCGCGAGGGCCGCGCGAGGGCCGCGCGGGGGGGAGCACCGAGACGATCGGAGGCGGACCGGCGGCGCCGCCGTCGCTGCCGCCCTCATCGCCCACGCCGACGGTGGCAGAGACTGGAGCGAGGGCGGCAACCACCTAGCAGAGGGTGGTGTGAGGTCGGTGAGGAGCAGGACCGCGCAAGCTGGACCAGAGTCGGTGTGGCGCGGGGTCACCCTCCCGCGGGCTCCGCGCATCTGACCAAGCGCGCGCTGGAGAGGCGCGGGCAGGTCGAGCTCGGCCGCGGCCTATTCAGAGGCGCGAGAAGGCAGGGTGAGGGGGGGCCGAGCACCGCCAGGGGCAGGGCGGGGCTCGCGTCCGCTCCTCCGCCCTCTCGTCGCCCTCGCCGCCCGCCGGCGAAGTGGCGCTCCTGGCAGCGGCGCGCTGCGGGAGGAGGCAGGAGGCGGCGGCGGCGAGCTCGGCCTCGCTCAGCCCTCGCAGCGCGCCGCTCATCATCACCTACCGGCGAAGAGGGGGCGCCAGGCCAAATGGAAGAGCAGTCGGGGAGGGAGGGGGGGGGGGGGGGGCTCTTGCAAGGCCTGGGAGGGGCGCACCTCGACGGCCAACATCGGGTTGACTCCCTCGACAAGCGCGGCGGCGCGTCCCTTGAGGGTGAGCAAGCCGTTCGCATCGACGCACCCCAGCGAGCGGAAAGCCGCGTCGAGCGAGCCGCCAGCCGCCGCAGGCGAGTGCCTAATTAAGCAATCAATTATCATTTAATTAAACATTGATTAACTAATTAATCAGGCGAGTGCCGCAAGCGAGTGCCACGTCTCCCCCGCCTCCTCGGCCGCGGCAGTCGCCAGCCGGACCAGCCGCAGGCGGTGGCACAGCTGATACGCAGCCGCAACCGCGGACCCCTCCGGCGCCGGCGTCGCCACGATCTGCGCCTCGACAGCTGCGATCTCGTCGAGGAGCGAGAGCAGCGCCGCCTAATTAATTAATTAATTATTATTAATCTGCGCCTCGACAGCTGCAATCTCGTCGAGGAGCGAGAGCAGCGCCGCCTCCTCGGCGTCGTCCGCGCGGTAACCGACGTAAAGGTCGCGCGCCTGCATGAGGAGTGTCTAGGTCTAGGGTCTGGGCAAGTGTCTGGGCATGTGTCTGGAAGTGTCTGGAAGTGTCTGGGCAAGTGTCTGGAAGTGTCTGGGCAAGTGTCTGGAAGTGTCTGGGCAAGTGTCTGCAAGTGTCTGGGCAAGTGTCTGGAAGTGTCTTGACAAGTGTCTGGAAGTGTCTGGAAGTGTCTGGGCAAGTGTCTGGAAGTGTCTGGGCAAGTGTCTGGAAGTGTCTGGGCAAGTGTCTGGAAGTGTCTGGGCAAGTGTCTGGAAGTGTCTGGGCAAGTGTCTGGAAGTGTCTGGACAAGTGTCTGGGCAAGTGTCTGGAAGTGTCTGGGCAAGTGTCTGGAAGTGTCTGGGCAGGTGTCTGGAAGTGTCTGGGGAAGCGTCTCGCCGGGTCGAGCGGAGGCAAGTCGCCGTCGAACTGGGCGAGGGCAGCCTCCAGGGCGAGGCCGGTCGCGCGCCGGCCGTGCTCGGAGCGCAGGTCGCGCGGCACCCAGAGACGCACTGCCGAGAGGTGGTGCACGTCCGACAGGGGCAGGGAGACCAGCTGCAGACACTCGCCGAGCTCCTCCGCGCCGCTTCCGCTTCCGCCGCCGCTGGACAGCCGGCCGTCACAGACGTCGCACTCGGCGGCGCCGTTCGGCTGGCCCAGCGTCTCCTCCACCGCAGCCTCCAACGCCGCCTCGCCTTGGGTCTCGTCCGCGGCCACCGCCGCCGCTCTCACGGCGGCGGCGGCGGCGGCGGGCAGCAGCACACGCAACAGCACGCTGCCAACAGAGGGGACGGAAGAGTAGCTGTGCCGCGTCGGGATGCCGGAGCTACTGATGTCGCCGCCGTCCGCCTCGCCGTCCGCCGTTGGGCGTGGTAGCGCCGCCTCGGCCGCCTCGGCCGCCTCGGCCGCCTCGGCCGCCTCGGCCGCCTCCGCCTCCGCCTCCTCCGCCTCCGCCTCCGCCTCCTCGACACCCTCCAGCCCCTCCTCCACTCCCACCTCCGCCTCTCCTCCTCCCCGCTTGCCCTGCGGCGCCCGCCGCTTCCTCCCTCCCCGCGCACTGACAACCACGCCCCACGCCACCCCGCCCCCCTCCCCGGCGCAGACAGCGACGGCGCGGCCGGGCTGCAAGTGCGACGCCTGCACGCAGCGCGGTCGGAAGGCGATGAGGAGCACGGTCGGAAGGCGAGGACGGCCTCTCCCCTTGTGAAGGGGGGGGAGGGGGGGGTGCGGCCGGCGCACCGCGCGGAGCAGCAGCGCGCCGCGCAGCCGCTCGCAGAGCTCGTGGTGGCGCAGTCGCCTGGAGAGTCGCGGGGAGGGGAGTGAGGCGACGCCTCGCGGAGCAGCGCCGCGCGCGCAGACGCACATGTCGAGCAGCGCTTCGGCGGCGGCGGCGGCGGCGGCGGGAGCCTCCGCCAGCTGCGAGGCGAGGCGCGCCGCCGCCGAGGAGGCACGCGCGCGCCGCTCCTCGTCGCGCGCACGGGACTGCGACGCGAGCCACGCGCCGAACGAGGAGGTGGCGAGGGCCGCGACGGAGGCGCCCTCGATGCGCGCCATCTTGAGCGCCGTTGAAGCAGTGATCCTGGAGACAGGCGCGCGGCCACGGGTGACTACTCATCTCTCGTCGCCAACTCCCCGTCGAAACGGCAAGCCTGTGCGACGGCTGGAGCGGCGCGTGCCGCCGCGAGAGCATCGCCTCGCCGCTCGCCGCCGAGCACCACTCGTGCGCCAGCAGAACACACGCGCCGAATGCGTCCTTGCCGCGCCGGCCGGCCCGGCCGGCCATCTGCGTGTACTCGGTCGGCAGCATCAGCCGCTGCCGCGTCCCGTCGAACTTGGATCCGCCGCCGGTGAGGAGGACCGTGCGGGCCGGCGTGTTGACGCCCATCGCGACCTACTCCAGTGTCGTCCCCCGGGTCTCTCGGGGCGATGTGGACGCGTGTGCAAGTGTCGTGTGCAAGTGTCGTGGGGGTGCCGTCTCGGTGGCGACGAGGAGGGGGAGGAGCCCCTCCGAGAAGAGCAGCTCGCTCAGCTCGCGCAGGACAGGCTGCAGCCCCGAGTGGTGCACGCCCACGCCGGAGAGGAGGAGAGGGCGGGCGACGCCGATCTGACGCGACGCCTCCTCCTCCTCGCTCCCTCTCCCCACCACACCTCCCAACGCGGCGTCAATCACCTCCCCTATCGCCTCTGCGTGTGACGGGGCAACCAAGCTGGGACCGCGGCTGAGCATCGCAGCCAGCGCCTCGCACTCGCGCCTGTGATCGGAACCGTCTAGACGTGTCACGGACGTGGACGTGCGCCTAGGCAGCTGCCACCAGCGCCGCAATGCGCGCGCCGCGACGCGCAAAACGCAATCGCCGGCAGCATGCTCTCTGCCCCCGCCCCGCCGCCGTCCGCCCCGCGAGCGGAAGCCTCGCCCGCGGCGCCGCCTGCGAGGGCGTACAGCAGCTCGGCCGCCGCGGCACACCGCTGCTCGAGCCGCCTCGTCGGCGGCGCTGTCGGGTCTGCGGCTTGCGGCGTCCTCTTCTTCTCGCCTATCGGACGCGCGGGACACGAGACACGTCCTCTTTCCACCGGCGTGGCACGTGGGAGGGCAAACCGTCCCACACCCCCCTCCGACGGCTCGCGCGGCGGCGAGAGCCCCTCCACCGCCTACCGGGGGCACGTCCGCGACACGTCCACGCCGCGCTCCCCACGACAGTCACGCGCGAGGGCCGCCCGTCGCCGACTCCCAACGCGCGGCGTCGTGTCTAGGAAGGGTCTAGGAAGTGTCTAGGAAGTGTCTAGGAAGTGTCTAGGAAGTGTCGCCGACTCCCAACGCGCGGCGTCGAAGGCGGCGCCGTCGCCGCTCTGCACGAGGAAGAGGTCTCTCGGGCGGCGGGCGGAGGCGACGTAGTGGCGGAGAGGCACCGGACGCGCCGCGGAGTGGACGAGCTCGCAACTACAACACGAGACCGCTCCACAATATCTCATCGAGATGCAACCCGGCCGCCGCGAAGAGGACGCGCTCGCACGGCGTCTGGCGCAGCATCGCCAGCCAGCCCGCGAGCGCCGCGCCGTTTGGGATGGTGGCGGAGAGGAGGACGACGCGCACCGCTCGCGGCAGCAGGATGAGCGCCTCCTCGATGACCCAGCCGCGCGAGGGAGAGCCGAGCAGGTGCGCCTCGTCAAAGACGGCCCAGCGGACCTCGCGCACGAGCTCGCTGCCTGCGCACGTCAGGGACGTGTCACGGACATGTCCAGGACGTG